TTTGCAATTTGGGTTTCCAGCACCTTAAAGAAAGTGAAAAATACAAAATTAGTTTTCAATTTAAAAATCTCAGTGTAGAATCAAATGAAGCTTCATAACAAGAAATCTTACTGCCTTCCTTTCCTGATACAGGAGATACAATCTACTGCTGTGTTTACACTGAGTAATCAGGCTGAAACAAAATACATCTTACTAACTCAACATGTAAAAGGGAGTTGACCTGTGGGAAGGGGAACATGAAAATCCAAACATCCAAACCCTCTAGGATCCAGCTCCATTATCTATTCTGATGAAAAGGGAACAAGAAGATACTTGAAATGGAATCTAATTACTTCTGTCTCCATTACAGTTGAGCAAGTAAGTGTGATGCAAAAACACATCTCTCAAAGTGAGATGCTGCTATTTCAAAAGGAAAACTTCTTTAAAAACATCTTTAAACTATAAAGACTGGAGGGTCTATGTGGGAATGGAATGCCAATGGGATTATAACTAACTAACACAAATAAGACTATCAAAGGGTTACCCTGATGACTTTTCTACTACGTCAGCATAACTTCCCTGGAATGCAGGTTTTTTCCACCTTTACAAAAATGATTTTAGATTGCACTTCAAAGAAGGCTCTAAGTGGAAATTTTTACCTGAAAATAGTCTGCTAGCATTTCAAACCATTGATAACATTATTTGAAATGTTTGTTATACAGACATATTTATTATACCTTTGTAGCACAAAGCCAGCATTTTAATTTACAAGTCCTAAAGAAGACTCTACCATTGATTAAAATTTCTATGAACTTTAATCCTTACTGTCTTTTTCTTTTAAGATTTCTTGGTACCAAAGCATGCTCTCATTCCTTTCAAAGCCTCACAAAGGTAGGGAAAATACCTGATGGATGTAACAATCAGTAACTTTTTTATTGCATCTCAATGCAGATGACAAGCTTTGCAGAGATTTAATTCAAGGTTGGATCTATACCAACTCGGTTTGTTCTGAGGTCAGAAACAAAGATGACTTTTTATCTTTGGCAGCTGTTAGAACAAGGTTTGGGAGCCTGTGGTCTAGACAATACAACCACCTGGCTTTGAGCTGAGCTATTTCCTCCTACAAACAGCCACTGTGATGGCCAGGAAGCAGGAGAGAGATTTACTTCATTCTGATAAACACTGCCTGTTTTGAGGGCCAGGCCGCCGGCTGTTTACTTTCCTCTCTTGTAATATGATATTCATCCATTGTTTCCAGAGTGGGGTTATTTTTGTGGCCCATGAGCTGTACAATGCTAACGAGCTAAAAATCTGAGTGAAAAGCTTCGGCAGGGAGGATAAATCAGCTTGGTAAAAAAAAAAAAGAAAAAGGTAGATCCCAAACTACCCTGCACAGAGAAATGCTGCCTCTCTGTGTAAGGGGCATTTGATTCTTCTCCTTTTCCACAGAAGGTAAAGAATTGCCTGAGATCCATTTTCTAAACCAGATCTACCTTGAAGTAAGGTTTAAAACAAAATATATTTTGACTTTCTGGAATCTCTTTAAAAACTGTTTTGTAAATACTCCTCAAGTCACATCCCTGCTACAAAAAAAAGGCAAATTTCACCATGTTGCATGAAAAAGAACCCAACCAGAGAAAGCTTTCATCTTGAACTCAATGAGAAGTTCACTGAGAGCTAAACATCTGGTTAGATTCCCTAAATAATTTGTACAAATTTCTGGAAGGCAAACGAATACCTCCATTTTATCTGTTCTTATTCCTATCTGAGCACAGCAAAAGAAGGCAGATTCCTGGCTTTTCCACTCCTTAGAGTCTGAAGTCCGGGAAACCTAAAACAAATTTTATGTGACTTTGACCTATAAAAGCCAGAAAGAAGTTCTGAACTAATGCAAGACACTGAAAGACTTCAGTGGTTTGGAAGGAATGCTGACAGCCTGGATGGAATAAATCTCTCATTTATAAATGGCATTTTTACATTACTTACAGAATTCAAAGAAGCTGCTGAAGGATGAGGGGAAGAGTCACAGAAGCCTGTTATGTGGTAGGAGTTAGAAGTAATTTTGCAAGAAACTCACAATTGAACAAATAGATATTTTAGAAGGTCAGTTTTAACCATATTTTCATATTGATAAGCTTTTCAGTAAAGTTTTCCATATATGACTCTACAATCTGTACAAAACTTTTAAACAACAATGCTGCTACACTGGGAAACATCTTAAGTTTAACTAACTTGTTATACTTTCTAACTCTTCGTGGCACTCAGATAGGCAAAGATAACGGTATTTTAAAATGTGCTTAGAGGGTTGGCCACAATCCCACTAGAAGCCTAGTCTTTGTTATCTGGAGCATAACATGCTTAAGATTACTGATCTTCACACAATCAATTTATATTTCTGGTAGAAAGGGTACTAAATGTGGCACAGACACAGAAGAAGCTGCCATATAGCCTGCTTTCAGAAGCCACTAGCACTTTAATTCTTGTAATCTAGTTACCTATTTTTCAGCATTCGGTCTTCAATTTTTTTGAGTCTAAGATGACTCAGGCAGGATAAACTACTACCTGAATGCCCATAATACCTATGATTCTTGCCATGTTGGCTGCTGCATTGTCAGCTCAGTGGGTTACTTCTCTCTGCTAAAGATAAGGGGGCTGTGATGACATTACACACTTGTCAGATTCCTAGACGGGTACTGATAAACACATTCTGCACCCTCCTACAAGAAGAAACTGGACCAAGTAGGGTGGATGGCACTGTGGTACTGATCAAGATGTGGGGATCTCCTAATGAAGAAAAGGGACACCCCACACAACCTTCCCAAGAGCCTGCAGTAATTCCTATTCACTATTCTACAGTTTTATCTCATCTTCTCCAGATAACCCTGCAGGCATCTGACTCATGTATGGTAAATATTATAATGTAGCTGCAATCAAACAGTAAAGACAGAGGCAATGTTGGGGTTCTGCAGCTGCAAGGGCTATGCAAGTCCTGCCACTGCATGTGGCTGCTGGTCATTCCCAGCTGGAGCTCACAGGCTCAGATGGTGCCAGTGAGAGCAGCTGCTGAGCTTAGGAACATTTTTTCCCCTCAACCTTCATGCCACTTCATGCCACTTTTCCACAGTCACAAGTGCTTTTAGTTAAATAAGATCATTCACTCTTACTTATTAAAAATTTTTTGTTATTTTTGAGCCCACAGAGTCCTCCTGAAACACACACATGACAGTATTATTTCTGTACTCTGACTAGAAGGTTCTGTTCTCCCTGCACTCTTCAAAGTTACAAGGAGCTTAGGCACTGGAATATACAGTGCAGGAATTACACAAGCTGCCTTCCTACAGTCTGCACAAAGAACCTCTTGGGGACTTCTGCAGGCAATACACAATTCCCTGGGAGCATTCTCAGTTCTAGAATGATTATTCTACCTTGTTGGGGACCATATTGAGACCAAGCCTATTTAGAACTGAGAGGTTCATTTATTTTAAAGAGATATAGCTCAGGGCTCTAAGCCATGACATGACTTGCAAGGACATAAGCTGGAAGCAACCCAAATGTCTTATCTGCCCCTGTGAAGAATAACACTGAAGTACTGTGATAAATCAAGATGAAAAAATTGCAGAAATATGCACAAATATTGTGGTACTCTTTCTCCAGACTCCAATTCTTCTCCCAACCCATTTTACCTTCTCGTTCTGAATGAAAATGAAGTATTTGGAAAACATCCGCCCATTACATTCTTAACTGACCATTTATAAGAACCTTTCCTTTCACATATTTCAAAATAACTGAAGCACACACAGATGGCTAACCCAGCTGTGGCAGGTGCATCAGAGTGCCAGAAAAACCAAAATCTGACCTCTGCTCTGCTCAACATCTCTCTCTGTTGTTTGGCTTCAATACTGCATTTACTGAAACTCACTAGACTGCTACAGGATAACTCAAACAAAGCTGGATTTCACAGACTTCACAGAATATTCTTAGTTGGAAGGGACACACAAGGATCATCCAGGCCAGCTCTTAAGTGAATGGCCCGTGTGGGGATCAAACCCACAGCCTCAGTGTTATCAGCACCATTCTCTAACCAAACAGATCACAGAAGGTTCCTGACACTCTGCACAAGGTACTCTTGCACAAGACAACAATTTGAAACTGTAGAGACTGTGTAAATTTAAGCAAAATCAATCATTTTAGGAATTCTTAGCAGAGGTAAGTCCACACCTCAGTGTAGAAATAGTAATATCTGCATGTAAAGTGCAGGTTGTCTCCATCTACCCTTTCCTATAAAAGTTTTGACTCTCTATAATGTAGACAGCACACTGCAAGTGGAAGAAACCTCACGGATGTAATAGCATCTTTCTAGTTTTCTTCTACAGTATCTGTCTGGCTTGCAGTTTCTGTAGAAATGTTACCAAACTAATTTGATTCCAGGTCTGACTGGCAACATTAAGTCCCTGAACTCTCCCACAGGATGCAGGATTATCTGCTTTATAGTCTGGTTGACAATTTACAACTTGCCTTCACATATTTTTCTTACCATCTTTCTGGTTTCACATACTGAAGGAACCACCTCCCCCTTCTCAGAAAAACCAAACTCATTTTTTTATTGTACCCCCTAAAAAGTTACTTAAAGGAGTGGATACAAGGATCCTTTAAAACCTTACGTAGGCAGCCATCAAAAGCAAAGTAGTGCCCCGAGGAAGGAAAACAGTGACTCCCTATGGACTCTGGGGCAGTAACTCAGCTCCAGATGGACCTACCACACTCTTTCTCTCCTTTTTACCTTTTAAATGTGTGGTTTGCTAAAAGCCTTTTGATGATGTAAAAAAAAACTTTGGACTTGCAGAATAAAACAACCAACAGCACAGTGAAATAGTAAGAGAGTCCTGACCTTCCAAAGAACACTCACATTCAGTTGGAAGAGGGAGGAACGTAGGAAGTGTACGTGTTCAACACGAGAAGAGTTTCCAGGAAAGCATAATTTTTTAAATTGTTTTTTTTTTAACTGGCAAGTCATAATGAAAGTGCAACTGACTTCCAGATGAGGGTGTGGTGCTTGAAGACAAAATGCAATGTGTCAGACCAATTCAGACCACTCCACTGAAGCACATCTCAATTGCAGTACCTGCTACTCATCTGCTGACAAAATAAGGTTAGTTTTGTTTTAATATTTACTGCTCTGTATATTGTGTGATATACTTAGCTTATTTACATACATTTACTCTTAGTTAAGTTGGCTTTACAGAGAGACATCATTTCACTAGGGCACACGCTCATTTCCAGTATCAAAATTAGATTTGTTGAGTAAGGACAGAATTTTGCTTAAGTCATTAGAGAAAAAAAATCTTTCTGTTTAAACTGGGGATATTAACTTCATTCAACATGCACTCATACAATCCCATGTCAAGTTTAAACACACTGAATTTGTATTTGACTGGAAGGCTGGAATAATTCTGCAAGAAAACATGCAGTTGCAGAGTTAATATATCTATGAATATACCTCCTAGAAAACAGTATTTGAAAACTCAGCAGAGCTTCTGAGCTATTTGGGTTCTTGTGGGCAGTTTGTACATGATAAGATTCCTTTCCGTCATAACATCCTGAGAAACCTCCAGCTGCAAGATGCAGTGTACCCGTAGCAATCTGCTTCTGTAAGAGATTCCACGTGGGCATGGCTCTCTGTGTGGGATGGAGACTAAACTAAACTTGTTCCACCAGGTGTTCAACACCCAACTCAGAAGGGGCTAATCTGCTTTTTGTGGCGGGCACATATACGTGTGCCTGAGAAACAACAGCAACAGGAATCACAAATACGAATAGGTATGTTAGCCAAAACAGAAATGTGTTTTTAAGGGACAAATATTAACTGCTGCATTTTAGGTAACTTTGTTTCTGTCAAAAGCTCAGGTCAGGCAAAAGCCCATCAGGCAGCGAAGCACAGAGTGACAGCCAAAGTGCTTTGTCATAGAGACTTCTTGCAGTTTGCGCTGAAATGTTTACGGCTTTGCTTTCAAGCAAATTCACTAGTGATCCAATTTGATTAAGCATTCCCAGCTGGATTCTGTAATTAAGTGCTTTAAGACCACAACTAAATCTTTTCAGTCTAACTTCTAATTTTCTTCAAATCTCAGCTAAGTGGATTAAACCCTCTTTGCAGCAGTTTTTCTTCTACTAAAAAAGATTCACTTGCTGCTGATAACTAAATCCCTCCTCAAAGTACCATAAAGCTGCAAAAGATTACTGCTGCTGGAGAATCCTGCTAACAGAGCTTGTTAGGCATAGAACATCCCTTGCCAAAGTACTAAATAGAATGATTGTACTTTTCCATTCTGCATATCTCATTTAGGCAACAGTAAATGGCAGATTACAAGACTTAAAATAAGAGTGATCACTGTTTAAAGTTTAATGGGGAACGTTTTGAAATGTTAACAGAATAATCCAACAAAGTCACTAAGGATGAAGCCAAATCAAACAGTTAATTTCAAACTAATACACTTCCTAAATATTTGGCTATCAGAATCACTGAAAAAAACCCAAACAAACACAGAAATTATTAATTTCTCTCTATTTAGTTGGTCTGCGTCCCTTATTATGAGATCAATCAGTAACTTATTTTTTCCTGGTAGACAAAACACATTAAAAAAATTTAAAGAGATACTGTTTATAATAAAGATTTGGCAACCTTTCATTTCAACCATTGTCTAAAAACCAGAAATTATATTTGGGGTTTTTTGCAAGCTTGAAAAAGCTGAATTGTAGCTCTGGGGCAGAAAATCAGATAACAATCTGCTCTCAGCAACACTGACCTCATATTCTGAAACACTGCAGATGATGAGAAAGGGGGCAAATGTTTTTCGTTCTCAGGTAGTTTTTGCTACTGCAGTTAAGAAACCTTAATCCCATTTATTTCAAGAAAACAGGGCACTGCAGGACTGTAGTTTACAATAGAAAGAATTTCAGCACATTAGTCAATGAACACAATTATAAGAAAAGAAGAGAATACTGTAGGACACAACTTGCTTAAGATACAATCTGAAGACAGGAACTTCAGCCCTAAGCTGGCAGTGAAAACACAGCCTTAGTGTTTACGGAGTAAATTTGTCATGAGATTGTACTGGAAAAAACAGCAGAGCTTCTGAGCTGTTTGGGTACTTGTGGGCAGTTTGTATGCGATAAAATTCCTTTCTCTCATAACATCTTGAGAAGCCTCCAGCTGTGTACCCGCAGCTATCTGCTTTCTGTAAGAAATTCCATGTGGGCAAAGCTGGCTTTGGGGGATAGAGACTAAACTAAGTTTGTCCTACTGCTGGTTCAGCAACAGACTCCACTGCTGTACTTTATGCAGTGTGCCTGAGAAACAGAAACACTCTCCTTATATTATCCTCTTATCTGAAATGTGTCAGAATTTATGACAGCAGGCACTAAATACTACTGTTTGTCTCTCAATTTTAATCTGCTCCTGTTATGCATTCGATTGTAACAGCATTCACAGCCTTCAACTGGTACTCCTTGCTTTGCAGAGGCTGTAGAGAGAAAAGTGTAATTCCAACCCTATAAAGGTACAGACAAAGTTATGTTGCAATGGAACGCTGTCAAACATAACTGAGACAGAGCAGCTAAAGCAATGATGGCTCCTTGACTGAAATGTGGAAATCAGTGAGGGGCACTCCAAGCATCTTGCAATCTCAAATGCCAACGTTAATGAAAGCATTTCTGTTGAATCCATTTAACATTGTATTGCACACATAGATGTTGTCAGTTACTCTATTCCATGTGAGAATTTGAGACGGTCTGTTATGCCTCCATTACCATTTAGCTCTACTTTGATTATTCACAAATGTATTCTCAATATCCAAATTCTTTAAATTTGAGACGTATAAGCAACCCTTAAGGAGGGGTTTATTTGCAACAGGAATTTTACAGCTTAAACTCAGTATCCCCTTTGGTATCCCCTTCTTCCCCTTTTTTTGTGTCTTGTAGCTTTGCCACAGGCTGAGATATGAATAACTCAACTGATTACTGGACTGGGGACGAGGAGGATGATCTCAACCATGTTATAGATTACACTTCATATGAACTTCTCTGTGAAAAAAGCGATGTGAGAAATTTCACCAAACTATTCCTTCCTGCGTTCTATGCACTGGCTTTCACCGTGGGAGTCGCTGGAAATTCATTAGTGGTTGCAATTTACGCCTATTGCAAGAAATCGAAGACTAAGACAGATGTGTACATCATGCATCTCGCCATTGCCGATTTGCTCCTGCTCTTCACACTCCCTTTTTGGGCTGCAAATGCAGTGCAGGGATGGGAACTTGGAAACTCACTGTGCAAGCTCACTTCTTCTCTGTACACCATGAATTTCAGCTCCAGCATGCTGTTCCTGGCCTGCATCAGTGTTGATAGATATAGGGCCACTTCTGAATCCCGGGGCCATAGAAGAATTGGTAAACACTGCAGTGTTACCTGCATCTGTGTCTGGCTGTCTGCCATTTTCCTCAGTATCCCTGAACTAGTATTTAATCAAGTCAAAAAACACAATGACAGGAATGAATGCCTTCCTGTATTTCCAATGAACATGGAAACACTCTTAAAATCAACCATTCAAATCCTGGAAATTATCCTAGAATTTCTGCTTCCTTTCCTAGTAATGCTGATCTGCTATTCTGCTACTGCTCGGGCAATCTTTAGATCTGCAAATGTTAAAAAGTCTAGACCTTTCATGGTTCTGCTGGCAGTAGTGGCTACTTTCATAATCACTCAGCTACCTTACAACATTGTGAAGTTCTGGCGAGCCATAGATATCATCTATATGTTGATCACTGACTGCGATGCAAGTAAAACCATAGATGTTGCACTCCAGGTCACCAAGAGCATAGCTTTGTTTCACACCTGCCTGAACCCTATTCTCTATGCCTTTCTGGGTGCTTCTTTCAAAATGCATATTATGAAAATTGCAAAAAATTATGGGTACTGGAGAAGACAACAGCAGAATGGAAGACCTGAAGAAATTTCTATGAATTACGACGATCAGACAGAAGAAACAATTAGTTTCACTATATAGACTCTCCATTACTTTCATCATCTTATATAACCAAGGGAATTGTTCACTAATTCTAGGGGGGTATTGTTTCAGCAGCTGTTTCTCTGCAGGTTAACTTTCAGATGAATTTTTGAACCTGTACACTAGCCAATACACTACAGAGCAGTTCAAAGTGGAACATGTTTATCAGAATGAAGCATCATGCAAGAACTAGACACTGAAATTTTGAGAAACAATAGAGATATTTACTACACAACAACAAAAACTCAAACAAACCCCACTACAGCACAACCCAAACACCTAAAAAAGCCAAGACTGAAATTTTAACGTGTACTAGGCAATTAAATAGCTGTGTAATGAACAATCTGTACAAGTCTAAACATCTAATTAAAACAGAGAAAGAAACTATCATCAATGAAACAGCAGTACAGGAACTTTTGTACCAAAAGTTAATACTCTTGTGTTTCTCCAACTATTTTGTAAAACTTTAGAACATCTGCCTAATAACTGAGTTCCATTTTTCAACTCAGCTATCATTGCATATCATTCCTTGCAGCTTGAAATGATATGTAAGTTTGTGGCTGAGAGTTGAGAGGGACAGAGGGGGAGAAAAAGCCATTCTATATGTGTTTCCACATATGTATAGCAACAACAACAGCCTCTGGAAAAAGCAGCAAGTCCTTCTCCATAACTACGGAGACCTTTCACCTCTCCTTTTCTGCTTACCCTAAACTTCAACAATGCCAGTCCTCTATGGGAGGCAGGTTCTAGATCTCTGTAAATGTAAGACAAAGTTAAGTTAATCTCCAGATACAGGGCTTGGAATTTCTATTCAGAATTTTTAAAATTCATCAAGCACTGCAATAACTGTATCTGCTAAAATATATGGAGATTCAATAAAGTCAAAGAACAAAAAAATGCACTTGCTTTTGTTTATTCATACTTTATGTTTGGTTTGTTTTGTTTTAGTAGGTACTGACATCTCTCATCATCATAGGCATTTACCAACCAGCAAAGTGTAGAGGCCTTGCTTGACAAATCAGAGAGGCTCTGTCTCTATACTGAGCTCATGGATTTACAGTTTTTACACAGAGAGGTACCAAAGCTGTCTCCTGCCACAGCGTTGGCAGGAATTCCAGGAAAACAGCAGTTTTCTGTGAGTCACTGGAAGCATTTCAAATATGCTGACATATTAGCTTAGCTTTCAAAATGAAAATGGGGTGTTACAGCAAATTGGCCTTGTCTTCAAACGTCCCGTGGGCTCTCACAAAATGCCTGATCTACGCCTTATGAAAGCCAACAAGAATCATTTTTAGACACTGTTCCAAGTTACACAACTATGGACTGGAAGAAAAAGCTCCTAAACGACAGACAACAGGAGCACAAACAAGACATGAGCTGCTTCTCCCTGTTTGGATGACAAAAGCTCGCAGAATTTCTGCCCATCGTTTTGAGAAATACTAGGGCGTGAACGGGTAAGTCAGAAGTGCTTGACAGAAGGTCTACAAATACACCATAAATCTGACATATTTAAGCCATACTGGATTTACTGTACACAAGCAGAACACCCATGCAGAGTATGGAAAGAAACTCCAGTTCTTCCACAAAGTAACTGTCTCCTTGCATGTGTGATTCACGGCTTGTCTTCACAAATACAGAGCGGCTGCTCACAGAGTGACGTTCTGACCAGGCTGTCAGGCTTCTGGAATTTCCAAACATCCAATGTCCTAATGTCCCGCTCAGAGTAAAAAGGAAAAAAAAAACCAAACAACCAAAAACAAAAGAACCCAAACAAATGAAACAAAAATCTCCAAAACAAACAAAAAAATCCCAACCAGGCAGAAAGGGAGACTCTGACTAAGACAAAGTCAAATGAACATTGTTTCTCAAACTTCTTGAAATTGCAGAGCCTTTTATGCCTCTATCTTTATGCAAATCTGACTGTCCTAATTGTTTTTATCAGAATTAAAACAAACCAAATCATGCTTACTTTATGTTAACTCTCCCTTTTATAATTCACATAACTAATTTTATGAGTATTATTTTGCACGCATGACCTCCTACAAACTTTCCCATTACTTCCTCAGGGACTGCAGTGCACAGCTGGGAAACACTGACCCAAAGCAAAGGTAGCAGCCAGCAGTTAACTGACACTCTTGGGTCAGGGGACAAGATACCGTGCCTCCTGTTTTACAGGAGAAGAAAGGAGAGAGAGATCTATCTTCTGGTGAGTCTCGGTATTGCACAAGCATGTATCAGTAGGTAGCTGACACATTCCTGTACGTGAATGAAACATTCAAGTTTAACAACTCGGTTTATTTACTTGGCTTCCAAACTCCCACAGAACGATGACTTTCAAGTTGCTGTCACACATGTTTTGGCAAAAATGTAACAGTACTACAATATCAGGGACATTTACCACTTATAGTACAATCCACTGATTTTACCGGAAATTATCATAAAAGCAAATGTCCTGAAATACTCAGCCCAAGAGCATCACAGGCTACTTTAAAAAACAGCCACATTTTACTGTAACTACACAGTATACTCAAACCTCACACCCAAACTGCTGAAGACAGCTTCATAAAAACAAAGTTTAAAGGGTATGAACATAAATGTGTGAGTTACCTGACAGAAAGAGGTAACCATAGAGAACAATAGTGGCATACATTCTGTGAACAAAATTCAGAGGTTCCAAAAAGCATCCAAGCCTTCAAATTGAATTTGAGTCTTGGACTTTGATTCATAGAACAAAAGCTCAATTCAGCTCTTTCTGTTGTTTTAAATTCTATTGCCTTTACTCAAGAAAAGACAAATTTCCATCTCAGAAATGAAGCATAAATATTTTTGTTTTAAGAGTTGTTGGAAAAAAATTTAGGCTTAGCCATTCTTATTTAGGGTTTCCACACTTACCACTGCTCCACCACTTCTTGCCATTGATCACATAACTGTTTCCATCTCGCTCAATGCTGCATTGCATATTGGTGGCATCACTTGAAGCCACATCAGGTTCTGTGTTAAAGGTAAAAACAAAACCAAACCACTGGGTTAAATGAAGAGGTAGTACTACCTCCACAAATACAGGGCTGTAGATATACTGTAATAATAACACAGTTTCGCTCCCAGTAGAAAAGTTGTTTTCAGAACCTCACTGCTGGTGGTCGAAAGACTTTCTATCTTCCAACAACCTGTTATTCATAGCCAGTTTAAATGGACTTGTTCTTGGGCTCAGATTATCCATTACGATCAACAGCCTTCTTCCTTTCCTGATCTTTTCAAATCTTTTATCCTTCCAGTGTACTTAGAGAAAACAGTCATGTCTCTCCTCAGACTTTTTCTTCCCCTGGGCTCTTCTCAAGTGAAAATGAAGAGATTGAAACTAATTTTATGATAGTACGTGAAATAGACTATACAAAGCTGTCAGCAAAATGTCATCAATGATTATTTGGAACAGGAAAGATTCTTCCTCTCTCCTTTCACCATTACTTTTTTTTTAATAGGCAAATGCTTTTGCTTTAAAGTAAAAGCATCTCTTTCCTCTTGGGGAACACAGTGAAACAGAATTTGCAAAATAAGGGTTCAGCTCTACCAGGCTGAGTTCTCTTGACTCCTTCTGACATGGGAAGATCAAGATTTTGACATCAGATGTTCCAAAGCTACCTTCCTACAGCAAGAGCCAGACTTTCCAAAGATGTTGAATGCCACAAGCTTTCAAGACCAAAAATTATTACAATGCTGAGCTATGGACATAAAGCAAGTTACCTCCAGGTTCTATCTTAAAACCTCTACCTATGACGTACTGCAAAACTACACAACTTAATCACAGTAATCATATTTGTACCTAATTGTATGTTTCTAAAGAACCCCAAAGCATATTATAAAAAAGGGCGAGCTCTATTGTAAATCTGTTTGGTACTATAAAATGTATTTTACCAGTACTAAAAATAAACTGAAGATATATAGAAAGCAAATAGTATTGTAACCATGAAAAATGGTAACTACTGGGGAAGGGCAGCAAGGGTGCTTCACTCTGCATTCACATCTCACAGATTTTATATTCAAACACATTCACAGATACAATGGAAATTTTTATATTAATTCATTAACACACAATTTGACGTTTTCTACTTTTTGCATATACCATTTAAAGTTTTTGCCAATTGTCTCTAACTTTCTTCTGGAGAAAAATTTACCCGTCATGCAGAAGCAAGAACTAATCTTCCCTTCCAGGAGAGGCTCCAGCCACTCTTTCTTTTGCTCTTCAGTCCCATACATGTGGAGGACCTCCATGTTTCCAGTGTCTGTAAGAAATCAGAAGTCATGTTTACTTCTTGAGACACACAACTCTTAAGGTGCAAGATGACTGACTTTTAAATGTTCTCAGTGCTGTAGTTATGGGACAGGGCTGCTAACCTGGTGCATGACAGTTAAAAACCTCAGGAGCAATGAGGCATTTCCCCGTCTCCTCAGCTATTAGGGCGTAGTCAAGCTGGCTGAGACCACTGACATCTGGAAGAAAAAGGTTCCACAGACCTTCTGCTTTTGCCATTTCCTGTTGCAAGAATCAACAGAGAAAAATACCATATAATAATACCAAAAATACCAATAAATCTTAAAAAACAGAAAAATAAATTCTGGCTTGCTAGACACTTCCTTCCTTCCTGCTGTCTAATACATCTCATGCCTTTTTTCAATAGCTATTTTGAAATAATAGGTACAATCTTTGATTGAAAATTCAGACACATCCCTCACAGAACTCACTTTGTTTTACTCCTCTCTCATTTCTCTCACCTTTTGCACACTTCTCTCTTCCTTTCCTTCCACTATTCCTCACACTGTTTCTTTCCATACAGAGTAACTTCTCCAGCATGATATGCCAAACACTCTTCTGCTCTATATCTGTGCTCTTTTACTGCTAGAATGCTAAGAATATTTACTGTCCCATACCTTCAGTTTCTCAAGAAGTGGTGGTTTCTTCCATTTTTCCTCAGTATTTCCACGTTCAGTATAGTATTTTATTATTTCCTTAGAGAAACAATTGAAAAGATACTGTTTAAATGAAGAACACATGTAACACAGAAGTAATAATATGATGTCTTTTCCAGTCCTGTGCACCAAGAAACCAATTAAAGAAATATTCATCATAGGTTTTCATTATATAGTGAGTTGTATTAAAAAATTAAATATATAATTGAAAACCGAACTGCAACCTATTCGTTTTGCAAGACTTGAAATGCATCACAGAGATGACCCCAATCAGTACCTTATTTCATACAATTATTTGGGTTCGTTTAAAGTATGTGGTGATGATGCTAGAAGGTCAGTATTTTCTGATGATAAAAGTACCTGTTACCAACAGTACACAGAAGAGGCATGAAACCAAAAGTAAAAGCACAAATGAACGCCTGACATAACGACACTAAAGATTCAGGTTTCCTGTCACAACATTCAAATATATAAGCCAGTTAATCTTTTGTTAACAGAGAAAAACCCCACAAAGAATACATTTTCTCTTCCTGTCAAAATAATTCCTTAACAGATTATGTCAGTAGTCATTCTGAGCATCAGTGATTATTAGTAAAACTATATATTCAGTAATCCTAGTATTTCCACAAGTATGTTTTAGTGAGGTACAGCACTTCAAACCTCACCAAGAACTAGTTAAAGAATGAATAAAAGTAGTTCCCTCTTCTGAAAATGACACGATAAGACAAATGCCCAAGTAAAATTTAGAAGTCCTGATGCACAATTCTTGTTATCAGAAACAACTTACAAGCACAACACTACTCATCTGCAAAAACTGTGGTCCAT